GATAAGTCGGGAGATCTTGGTGGCCATGGTAACAATGTGACATCATTATGTTCAAAGAAGTCTATTGTGACTCTTGCAACATGTGGTCGGGCATTATCTTGTTGGAAAGTTGGATCTGCCAGGGTGTCAAGATAGGGTAAAAGATGGGGTTCTAGAACTTCGTGGATATAACGCTGCGCGTTCATGTTACCTCTGATGAAGATTAAAGGTGACCTGGAACCATAAGCTATAGCACCAGAAACCATAACTCCAACAGTGTGATGAACATGTCTTTCAACAAAAAACTGTGGATTCCTCCTTTCACCACGTCGCCTTCTAACCCTGGCACGACCATCGTGCATGCCTAAACAAAATCGAGACTCGTCACTTAAGACAATACTGTTCCATTCCTGATCCCAGAGTGACCGTTGTCTGCACCACTCAAGGCGATTACGTCGGTGTTCTCGAGTTAAAGGGAGGACCCAGTGTGGCCGGTATGAAAACAAGCCAAAACTTCTCATTCGTCGGTAAACACTTCGCATGCCAATAGGTCTTCCGTGTCTGCAAACCATTCATTTGCAATGGACCTGGTAGTGGAGAAACGGTCCCTTAAGGCCAATAATCTTAGGCGGCGATCTTCACGGTCTGTTGTTCTACGGCGGCGTCCAGTGCCCCTTGCTCTTTGCGTACGGCCTTCTCGAAGCCATGCCTGACAACACCTAACCACAGTGTCTACACTTCTTTGCACTCTAACTGCAATTGCCCGAAAAGAAAGTCCAGCTTCCCGAAATCCCACTATACGGCCCCTATCAAACTCACTAAGTTGACGAAATCGTACAGGTCTCCGTACTCTAGGCATCGTAACCGATCGTAAAGGATGTCAAGAACCAAAATCCGCCAACGTTGATTCTTTACTGCGGCTGAAATATTCATTTTTAGAGCGTTAGTGAATTAAAAAAAAGCAGTATAAAAACCGGAATGTCCAACTGATAAGACTGAACATTTTTTCACTTGTTATTTACAGTAAGATAAATACATTCACCAACTTTTATTAAAATAAAACCATTTAAACTGAGTGTTCGGATTTATATGTCACTTAGTATATTTAAATTGTTGACTCCGCTGCTGGTCCACCCATTTTTTTCTGTATAAAACAGATGACATCGCCAACAATACAATCTGTTTTTTTTGCAACCACATAACCAAGAGTTTCCATATACCAACTTAATTTAAAATATCAAACTACGTTTTTTTATTCCTTTTTAAAATTATCTAAAATAGGTGGTGGTCTTCCATCTTAAATGATCTCCTTTTTTTTCTTAAAAATTATACATGACTGTTCAAGTACTTGATCGATTACGCAGCGACACTCATCCATTTTTAATTGCCCGCACCCTACAGCTCGGGCGACCGCGATCAGATACGAGCCGGTCCCGAAGGTCCCCGACGGACTACCAAGTGTATCCATAAATGAAAATGGTAACAACCGACAACCAAGTCGAGGCGCGTTAGCTTCATCGTGTTCGCAAAACCTAGACACTATAGGGCGCATTATTTTCGTGGGGCTAATTTGCTATTCACTGAATTACTGTTACATATCGCTGTTGGTAAGCAAATAAATGAAATTATTTCGCATTACTTAGTCATAAAATATTTATATTTAAGATTTTCAACTATTACCAATGGTAACAATGGTTACATGGACGCTTCGCCACTACTAATTTGTCATAGAACCAGTTTTCTAAAAGGACTAAAATGAAGATATCGGCAAAGTGTTGGTCACAAATTCCCCAAGGCGACACAAGAGGTAAACGGTGATAAAAACCCAAGAAATGAATCAATAAGTAATCTTAAATATATCCGTAGTAACTCTTTCAGGGATCCTGGTACATAAAATAAACTACCTGGTTAAATAATCTTAGAATACCCTGCGACGGTCGAAATTCTGAACTGGCGTATTGTGTGTTGCCTGTAAAGGTGTATTCGGTGATTGTAGTGTAAGTGAAGAAGGAAATTTCAGTGCCTATGTATATAAGGTTACATTAACTCTTGCGCATCGCCATTAGTGGAGTTTTCTTGTAGAAATTGACAAAAAGTAAGTAAAAAACATATTATAATAGTGTCTGTAGATGGAATGTTATAAGCCTGTTGAATTTTGTGTTATTAATTTGACGTATTATGGGTGTACCTTATTTGTACCACCGCCCCTCAATAGTTATTTCTCTTTTCAGGGAATGAAAATGGATGCATTGCCTTTCAAATTAGTAGATATGACCTACTGCAGCAACTCATAAAACAGATTCGGACAGATTCGGTGTGTACCATTTGCAAGATGCCTCTATGTTTAGGAAAAAATAAATCAGGTTTGCAGCGTTTTCATAATAAACAATAATTTACATTACATAGATGTGCACTGGTACATTATTCTTTCATCTGATTTTTTGGAAATTATACAAGAAAACTACAAGTAAAAACCTTTTCACTAGTTTTCTTATTACAGTCGTTCATTTAGTAACCTGTATAAGTTGAAAAAGTGAACAAAAAATGTGTGCCCCTCTAGGGGTTTTTTCAACCGAAGTTACATGCCCCTTAAAAAGAGTTAAGTTTTTTGCGCCATCACATCAAAGAAATGCAGAATACAGGGTGTCCGCAAAGTTGGGGTTTTCCTTTTCAGAAACAACTACCCTTGAAATAACAAAGGTAGGGTAAAGTCGGGTATATTGTACCACCTAACGTATTTTAAGAAATAACTCCTTGATGACTTGTTTGTATTGAGCGAAACTTCGAAGTAAGGTAATATGGCATGTGTCTGTCAAAATTCGCAACTTTAGATTGATGTGAATGCTCAGAGCTTAAAATAAGATGCATTTTAAAAAAATGTTGTAAACGGTACAATTTATCGCACCGGTTCGCTAAGTTGTACCACGGGGGTTTTAAATTGTACCATGGCAAAATCCATAAGATTTTCATTGTTAGTGGAACAGGTTGGTATAGCCATAAAGCAAGACAGTGTATTATTATAATTATACATGTAATTATGAACTTACATCAAAGAGATCACAAATAAGGAACAAAGTTGAAATAAAACATAACTCTAGCAAAATAACTCAAAATAAATTAAAATGTTTATTTGTTGAACTCCTCTACAGGAATCTTAGGCACACAGGTCACAAATATACCGATTTCGGCTGGGAAATGAAGCACAGCTTTCGTGCACCCAATTTGTGCATTGATCACACCTGATCATATCCTCTATAATGCATTCCTGGCAGATGATGCAAAACCAGTCATCAGCATTTGCCTCTATAACAGCATTAGTCACCTCATCTGCTTTAGTGAGGGAACAAGAATTTCTGGATTTCATATATCTTGTCTTGGCTGTCATTTTTTCTTTTGAATTTTCATGTAAGTCTGACAGTACTGCCCTTTTCACTGCACCTTTTTTTCATTAAGCACGTTTTTTTTTCTATTTTCTAACTCGTCCTTATATGGGGTGCTTGTAAGCACTGCAGCCTGTTGGGCATTTTTGTTGATCCGTGGTTTGTTTCCCAATCCGCTAGTCCCTGCCAAGCAAATGATCTCATCAATTGAGATATTTGGGAGATCTACATTTTTTTGCTGTTGAGCATTTTTAGAATCTATTCGTCTATTCCCCCAATCGCCAGATCCTGGAAAGAAGCTGTTTCCTTCAGAGTTAATCTTTGGAGCACCGTCTTTTGACATTAGCTTAGACAGAGGGATATCGTCGTCAGAAGAATCGTCTTCATCATGTCCAATTTGGTTTTTATTCTTTCCTATGGGTAACTGAGATGAATTATTGACTAAAACATCGCTTGCTGCAAAATCTACATCAGTAAAAACATGTCTATTCACAGGCCATACTCCAGTCTTCGCAAATCCATTTATTGCAAAGCCAACAGTTGCAGATTTTCCATATGCCTCTCCTAAGAGTTTAGCAACCTGATGTTGTGTCACTGATAATCCTGGATGTTCTCGCATCCACCGTTCAACTGCCTGATCGTAGTAGACCTCCATTGGCTTAAATATTGCAACGTCTAGTGGTTGAAGCCGATTTGTGGTATGCCCTGGCAATTGTAGGAGAATTACACCATGTTGTCGAGCCAAGTTGATTGCCTCCAGGTTCTTGGAGTGTGTCGTGTGCCCATCCAGAACTAGGATCACTCTATCTTCGGGGGTGGGCTTTGGCTTCACCACTTCAATAAATTTATGTAGCCAAACCACGAATAATTCAGTGTTAATATATCCTGTGTCTGAAATTTGAACTAAGCAGCCTGGACGGGCACCTTCTGCAAGTTCTGGCATCATTCTTTTTCTTTTAAAAATTATCATAGGCGCTACAAAGTTTCCTGCTGCATTGGTGGATACTATGAACGTGGTATTCACTCCTCGTTCCCCGCTGGCCACTGCCCCAACGTTTTTCTTTCCTTTTTTAGCAATTATTTTTTGGCATTTTTTCTGAACTGTAGAAAACCCAGACTCATCTACGTTGTAAATCCTTGTCGCGTCTATTTTATACTGATCAACTAACTTCTCTAAAATATCAAAAAAGTGATTGACATTCTGTCTGTTAAATCCCTTGCACCTAGCTAGCGATGTTGATTCCGGCTGCCTTAAAGAAACCTTTGGATGACTTTTCATGAAATTATAAAACCATGCTTTACCGGCTGTCCCCTTCACTTTGTTGAAATTATGTTTTATTCCATTCTTCTCTGCAAACTGATAGGCAGCTCTTCTAATATCTTGAATGGTGAGTCCAAAGAAAATTTCTTCCATTTTCAGGATTTGATTTTCTAGCTCCTGCTCTACTTCGGTGCTGAATACTTGGACCCTACCTAGTGATTTCAGTCCTTCCTTTGCTTTGACATTTGTCCCTAACAAATGCCTCTTGAACGTTGGCTTTGGAACCTGATATCTCTTGCAGATCGCATTAAGTCCAAATGCTCCCGTTTTGTACAGTTTTATTGCTTTCTTCATGTTTTCTTCGCTCTATTTTCCATATGTTAAGCCCTTGCGAGGCATGACTGGAAAATAATACAAGAGTTTGATAAATTGTACCGGTACAAATTAGCAAACCAGCCGGTGGTACAAACTACCGAACTGGTATGAATAACATAAATATTCTTACTTCTTTTTAAAAAGTGAGGTTAGGTGAAACTTAACTCAATAAAGATCTTATAAAATGATCAATAACTACGAAAAATATAACGGCACTTAGCAGAAACTGATTATTTGGACATAAGGGCTTATCTAAGATTGTATAATACTTACTGCGTGAGGACGTGTTTCACAAAACACCAAATAACTAGATACACGAACGACCGTCAGTTGCAAGAGTTCGTTAGATACGTTTTGGCGCCAGGGGCTATCAAACAAGGTGAATAGATGGCGTTAGAGTTCTATAGTTCAGGAAATATTGAGGTGGTACAAATTAAAGACCGGTACAATATACCCGACTTTACCCTAATGTGTAGTGAAACGAGGGCGACCAAGTAAAAAAAAATAAAGGAAAAAGTACTCACTCTCCAGTTGACGAGAAGGGCTAAGTACGTCTCTGCCGGAAATCATACCGCTCCAACAGAAAATGAAATCAGCTGATGCGCTACCGAGCAGACGCACCATGCCAGCCCAAACATTCACCGAAAATGTTTGTTGAAAATGTGCCCGACGGACAGCGTGCGGATTTTCTACTGACCAAACATGAGTGTCGCGAAAGTTATTCACCCCATTACGCGTGAATGTAGATTCGTCTGTCACCAATATGCACTTCAAAAAGTCCGGATTATTGTCATGTTGATGCAACAACCACTCAGAAAACCGCACTCTTGCTGAAAAATCGTCAGGTTGAAGGTCTTGTACACGTTGGACGTGAAACGGATACAGCACCTCTTCACGCAGCGTTTGCCACACTTTAGTTTTTGATACTTGCACTTCTCTAGCCACGTCTTTAGTGCTTGTTGAGGGATTCTCGTCTACGCGATTACCTCTACAGGCGTGACCGTAACCGTCGGTTGAAGGTTGCATACTGACCTGACACACTGACCCCGACCCAGTTCTGTCGCTGAGCCAGTGACATTGTACCACTCCGAGAAGTAGCGGCTACAGGACGGTATTCAGATATTTTTGATGTTGCAGAGCCCTTTATCTCGGTTCCCTTAAGACATTGGTGTATATGGTACTAAGAAAAATTGCTTATGTTTTCAGGATCTACACGTCGTGTAAAGGAAAACCCCAACTTTGCGGACACCCTGTATATGTATTCCATAAAAATTTCTCCATTATTTCCATTGGAATAGAGGTATTTTGGAAGATGCTTTCGGGTCGCGTTCTTTCAGTATGACAGTGCGAACAGTGCAAAACATGAGAGGGAGCAAAGTGAAAACTCAAAAATGTCGCATATACTGGGTGTCCAAGAATAAACTTCCCTTTTTAAAGGCTAATAAAAAAATGTCCTTAAGATTTAAAATCAATTTAGAGAATATAGGCAGATTTTATATTTTAAAAATTATATTATCGAGGTGCCTTCCATTTCGGTCGATGCAGTCCCCTGCAACGCCGTCTTCATGTGGTTAAATACTGCTAAACATAATTCAGGTGTAATTACTCTAATTTCTTTCCGTATTTTTTGTTTTGATTCCTGCAAAGTCCTAGACCGATTAACATACGCTTTACTTTCAAGGTATCCGCACAAAAAAAGTCTGATGGAGTTGAGATCTGGAGACCTAGTTGGCCAGTTTCGGTCTTCAAAGCGAGATATGACCTTTTCCGGGAATAATCCTCAAACGACTTCCATAGATGCTCGAGCTGTATGTGCGGTAGCGCCGTCTTGTTGAAACGATGTTTATTGATCAAAGCCATCAAATTATTGTAGGTAAGGTACCAAAAACGCCCGAAGCATTGCACAATAACAATCACTAGTTACAGTCTGGGCTAGCCACGTTGATTTTCAAAAAAGAACGGACCGATATTTCCTGAAGCCACCGTTGCACACCACACAGTTACTTTTGGGCTATGCAGGGGACTTTCGTATTTTTGCCTTGAATTCTCTGGTGCCTAATAGCGACAATTTTCACTTCATGCGTACTGGAGAGAGCTAGGGTAATTAAAAGCCGCCCATATTACGGAGATTTGATATGTTTACTTATTTCATATTGCGTTGATGACCTAACCGTCGATAACGGTGAATACAACTATACCAGATGAATTGACTATCATCTGTAGGTGGAGGATAGAAGAAAGTGTGCATTAATCTGGCCGGTGCTTCGGACCAGTGTACGCTAGAGAATGTTCTTGTCATCCCTAATACTTTGATTAATGTGTGTTGAAGCGTCTTTCAAACCTCCCCCCCCTCGACTCTTCCCTTTCTACCCCACCCCCCGTCGCTCCAGCCTGGCGGGAGGCAACTTTTAAAAGACAAAACTTTCCAACACATGCACTGAATTTTCAGACAAGTTTCTCCGATACTTCCGTAGCTGCCTTCCAGCCAGCTAGCTAGCGGGAAACTTTTCTTATTGTTCCGTATATTAGTTGGAATAGTATCTTTTTTCGGATTTATTGCCATCTGTTCCTTTTGCCAGACGAGACATAATTTATCCTTCGTCTTCATGTGAGCTGAGACGAATGTCCTTGAGGAATAACAGTCTCTAGAGCTTTTTGAGTATAAATACGGACGACACCTTCCCTAGAGAATCCAGCATACAGGGCGATTCACAAGTCGTGGCCGAAAATGAATAGTCATGCACAGGACCGCATTTTATGGAACACTTTTTTTCACATCTTCAAAACCGTCTACTGAAGTGAACTAAAATTTGGCATGTGGGTTTACCTAAGTATTGTCCACATTGAAAAAGTCTTTACTTGAAATTAACGTGTAGCAGTGGAGGAGGTACAAGGGATTTTCAAATCTTTCCTTCAATTTGCTATAAATAATTACTCATATGTCTTTTCCTAGAGTGCACTGTTTTCGTAAAAGTAAAACAAATAAGATCATTCATGAAGAGAGAAGGTACAATTAGTTTTAAAATAAAATCGCAGGCCTTGATACCAACTTGACGTGTCTTGGAAGCAGGGGCGGCTGGTCCTTAAGTTCTGCAGAACTGCCAAAGCTTTTGTCTTAACAGAAAAAAGCAGTAGTAACTTGATCATTATTTATTTTCCATGTTATCACACAAATAGAAACAATACCGGCCTGCCCCCGCAAGACACGGCGTCGAGTCTATTTTGTACTGAGAAAGCATTATAATCGACCAATTATGTACTTGTCACTTTCGTCGCGACCGCAGCGTAACATTATTCATGGGCCACTTGAAAAGGGTCTGTACACTACTTCGACACAAGCCGCACGCGCTTGCTTTTATCTCTCACTACAAAATCAAATGCGCGATTTAAGCATAAGAATGTGCTGCAATTTATGGGCTAAAGGTGTTAGGTCGACCGCTGCCGGACATATTTATAAAAACACAGGGCGTTAGTCGGGGCAAGGGCTATACGCGGCATTTCAGCAGGGAGATTTACACCCGAAATGACTGGATTTGTGGGTGCAACAGGAAGAATGCCCTTTTCTGCTTTCCTTGCATACTTTTCGGCGGTGACAAAGCTTGGACGGAGGTAGGTATTACAGATTTAGTGCACCTGAGTGAAAAAATTAAGAGGCATGAAAACTCTAAAACACATCTTCATAATTCGATGGAATTGGCTTTATTGGGGACTGTTAACATCCGAGCTCAGTTAGATTCAGCATATTGGAGAAATATACAACAGCATAATGATACCGTTACAAAAAACAGGTACTTTCTATCAAAAATAATCGATTGTATAAAATTTTGCGGAGCATTTGAATTGGCGCAACGGGCCAGGACGAAACCGAGAGCTCCCAAAACCCGGAATATTTCGTGGACTGATTAATTTTTCTGCTAAGCTCGATACAACCTTAAGCGAACTCATAAAAAATGCTTCAATATTTAAAGGAACTTCGGAAGAATTACAAAACGATCTACTGGATTGTATTCTTGAAGTTTGTCATGAAGAAATAATAAAACAGATTAACAGACCCTCGTATTTGGCGATAATAGCAGATGAAACAACGGACATTTCAGGGAAAACCCAACTGGTAACAATTTTCAGATACGTATTTAACGGCGAACCAGTAGAACGTTTTTGGAATTATATGAATCCCGAAAAATGTGACGCTTGTACTCGCACAAGACATATTTAGAGCGTCGTAGATCCATTAATAGGAAATTTCCCTAACAAACTGATTTCACAAAGCTATGATGGAGCCGCGGTAATGAGCGGACATAATGCTGGAGTATAGGCAAAACCTAAACAAAGATATCCATTTGCTCACTATGTGCATTGCTATGCGCATCAGTTAAACCTGATTATGTCCCAAATACTCAAGTTCGGGTGTTCTTTGGGAATTTGAAAGATATTCCGGGATTTTTTAATAATCCTCCTCAGCTCGTAGAGGTACTGAACAGAATTGTGGGGAAAAAATTCCCCAAGGAGCAACAACTCGTTGGAATTTTAATATTCGAACAATAAATGTAGTGTTTGAGAACAGAGAATTACTCATTGAATGCATGGAAGAAATAGAAGAAAATTTCACTAATGAAACCGTTTGCAAGGCAGCTTGCGGTATTCGCCGTATGTTAAACGATTCTGTTTTCGTGTTTTAGTTGACATTTTTTCATCATGTCATGCCTCACGTCAACATCTTGTTCAACCAGTTGCAGAAGATAAAAACCGAGCCAGCGCAAGTTACAACGGCTATCGATAATTTTGAAAAATGTATTGCCGATGTAGAAATAAAATTGATGAGATAATAAATGAAGCCAAAAGTACCTGTATTTGCACTGAACGCCAAGACAACAAAAGGAGACGCCATAATAATAGCAGTCACGATCACCGAGTTGACGCATTAGAAGTATGCGACAATATAGTGAATTTTGCGAATGACAGATTTCAATTCAAAGACCATTTGGTTGCCGCATCGCTTCTTTTCTCCGAACACTTTGGAGAATAC